TCTCTCTCTCTCTCTCTCTCTCTCTCTCTCTTGTGAATTATTTAGAAATATTATTTCTTATTCGTTAAAGATGCTTGCCATCTGTGAGTCTGGGTTTTTTTTTTCATTCGCCTTTTTGTCATGCGAATGCATTCTATTACACCCTTGGCAATACACTTATCACTTTCTTCTGCATGTAAGCTTTTTTACGCCCTAGTCGACACAATTTAGATCATTTAGAAGGCGGGCTTCTGACGCTGACTGAGAGATATACAATATCAAAACAGAATGACAGAGGTACTCGATTTTAAAAAACAAATAAATCTCCCCACACAGCAATCAAACCCAGGTCTCTGCGTGGGACAGCTATAAGCTCCTTACTGCTACACCATAGAGGCCGGTTTGTCAATTCCTAAACCTCTCAGCTATTAGACATGCCTCCACCACTTTTCTATAAACTTACGTACACTTCAGGACGCTGTGAAAACCCTGGTCATCCAAGGGCACACTTTACAATACATGCACTCAGTACTACTTGTACTGCAGGCATGTTGCCAGGTTGTTCCGATACCGCAGCACACCCCCTAGGTCATGTGAAACCACAGAATTCTACACTAAGTGTAGAATTATGTGAGTGAAACGGACATGTGGTGGCCCCTAGCGGTGACTCACTGAAAGAGTAACTCATAAAGTATGACAGGCTACTCGCCACATACCTGTTTTAAGGGATGTAGATTGGGTTTTTTGTCGGTTTTTGTTTTGTTTTGTTTCATTTTATTTTGTTTGAGGGAGGAGGGGCAGGTGCGCTGCACAAACTGACAAATGCAGAAAGTGCTGTGACCTTTGTAGGATGATAAATATCCCTACGCAGACCATAGGATATAAATAGGTAGCGTCCCATAAACTGGACGTGCAGGATTCCACTCATACATCACCATCTTTTTGCGATCACAGGGATGTTTCCTTCCCAGGCACCAACAACCTGTTTTGCCATTTTTTTTATCCTGCCTACTTGTCCACGGTAGCATTAACAACATCAGCAACCAGAAAAAAACCCAGAACGAATACTGGCAAAATAGTCCACACATATAAGGTGTGTATTTGTGTGTGTTTGTGTGTGTGTTTGTGTGAGTGAGTGAGTGAGTGAGTGAGTGAGTGAGTGAGTGAGTGTGTGTGCGTATGTGTTTGTGTGAGTGAGTGAGTGAGTGTGTGTGCGTGTGTGTATGTGTATGCGTGTGTGTTTGTTTGTGTGTGTGTGTGTGTGTGTGTGTGTGTGTGTTTGTGTGTGTGTGTGTGTGTGTGTGTGTGTGTGTGTGTGTGTATGTGCGTGTGTGTGTACTAAAAAAAGATTTTTTTTTCAAAAACACCCACCACCAATATACAACATTTCCTCTACCTACCACCATCATCAACATAAAACAATAAGAATATTATAGATTGTAAAACGCATAGAGCTTGCTTTTAGGTAAATATACAAATGCTATCTGTTATAAGAACAATAGCACCCAAACATCACAATCCCTATCACCATCACCACTACGGATCCTATCAACAAGAACAATAAAGAAAGAAACAAAAAAAACCCAATAAAAAACATAATAACAGAAACACCTCCCCAAAAAACAACAACAACAACAGCAGCAACAAAACAAACATACCGAAAATAACAACGAAAAACGAATGGGCAAACCAGGAGAACAGAACTGACAACACACACACACACACATACATACAAAAACAGACTCAGCAACAACGCGAAAACTATGCAGCACTCACTAAGACTTCTCCGGCGGATGACAGATGAGTCTGGGCTGGACAGCAGTGGGTCTTCGTAGTAGTAGTCGTCGTCATGGTAAGGCTCCCCCTCAGGTGAGTAAGGCTCGTAGTCGGGGTGGTCAGAGCGAGCGTGGATCTCCACGGGGGGTGCGAACACGTGCGGCCGGGAGTGACGATGAGACGACTTGTGATTAAAATCCTCGTCGTCAAAATCATCTTCGTAGCTTTGGAAGAAGAGAGGGAGAAAAATGTATATAAGGTTATTGTCACATGAAACAGAATGTACTTTTTCGTCAAGTTAGTGAAAGGTTCGGCCGTAACAACTCTGCGCGGTCAGAGTCTCAAGAAACGAATTGGGGGGCTCTCGTGGCCTAGAGGTTAAGGTGTTCGCCTCTCATTCAAAGGTCCCGTGTTCGAATCCGGGTAGCGACCAAAAAAATTTCTTCTCAAAATTTGTCTCCTTTCACCTCCTTTCCTACTCTCTAGCAATGTTCTGTCGTCTGCTTTCGTCTCCTCTTTCTGCCCCCCACCCCTTCACCTCCTTTGCCCCCTCCTCTGGGCTCCTGATTCTTTCTGCAGCCTTTCTACTGCTACTCATTGGCTTCTTCTTACTGCTGTCTTTCAGCCACACTCCTGATCTTCTGGTAGGAAAGATCTACACCTAGCCTTCTCGGACAAGGGCGAAAAATCTCGGAGGTTCCGTGTGCAAGCTGTGCACGTTAAAGATCCCTTGGTGGTCTAAAATCGATAAGAGTAGGCTTCGGCCGCCACCCGGGCAAAATTCAAAATTTCCTACCAACTGAAAAAGTTTAGTGTGTCCCGTGCGCTCATATGACCTTATGCAGTTGCGAGCGCCGTAAAACACTTACAAAAACAAACAAACAAAGAAACGAATTGTACCTACTTTTTCATAAAACTAAAGCCTGATTAATACACGTATAGTACACAATAACATAATAGCATTCATATTAGACAACTATTTTATCGCCCCTAGTGGGGATGGACGTTGAATCCATAGGTCTTGTATCTTACATAAACAACAAATGTGAGGCAGCGTGGTGGAATCGGGCTCTCGTCCAAATAATCAAAGTAAAGAAACTTGCATTTTTCCCTAGGTTTTTGAAGCTCAACACCTTTCATGCCCATTAAAGAACTAATTTCTGTATGGCTTTTTTTCTGAAAAGCGTTGATTAAAAACACAAAAAATGTAAATTTTCAGCTACCACGGACTCTTTAAGGTAAGGAAATAACAAATCTTTGGCGGCCATTTTCTCACTAATTTTACCTCTGAAGAGAGGTGACCCCCACCCCCTTCATTCTCAAATATCTCGACTTGTATTCAAGATAAATGGATATATATTTATTTCACCCAAATAAAGACAAATGAACAAGCTTCAAGATGATACCAATAACTCTACATGCCCAAAAATTGACGAGAGCCTGATTCCACCACGCTGCCTCACAAATTAAGGTTTTTTTCCCCGTACTGTCCCGATTTAATGGCAGATATTGCTAATTTACGTTGAAAATGTATCGGCATGGTAGTTAAACTAACGGTGTTTAAAATGGCGTGAAACCCTTACCAAATTACACCATACAACTTATAGCTGCGGGTAGTCGCTCCAATGGAATCACAGGGCTCTCACTCCACTTTCGACGAGAACAGAATTACACAATACACCTAACTGACACAGATACCCTGCACATTGTGCCAATAGCTCGAGACAATCGACCTATATTTATTTCTGTTTACCTCCTAGCAAATAGGCCTTTTGTTTTAAACATTTTAGTTGCATGAGTGTGAATCTCTGAATCCAATTTCCTCAACGGTGTGCGCCATGGAGTTATAACCCTGTCATTCTAAGGACATGTAATACCGCCTCCGACTCGCATTCTGAAATGTGTTTGCAATAGAGCATGATAGCGCAAGTCTGATAAGGCGGTTTGATATTTCGAAAAGAGGAGTTTGCGTAATTGTGAGGTGAAATCATTAATATAACGATTTTGAAACGTCACTGGCAATTATTACTGCCTTCTACTGTCTTTCACGCTTTCATGTCTAGTTTTTTCTTAGCTTTACGTAAGCACTATTGTTTCGTTCTAAACACTTAAATAAAAACTAAGGATATACGCAAAGTTTTTTTAGATTTTGGAAAACCAACACGCTCCCTGCCCCGCTCTCCAAGATATAATCAATACACTGAAATGTGTACCAGAAGGTATGCTAATTCTCTTAGGAGGAATAACACATCCAATCATCTATGCTCAGATGTACTTGAGTAAAATGTACCTAGGCGTCTCACATCTGCTTCCTCTCCTACCTTCATTGTTCTTCTCTCCCAGTTGCACCATGTACTCTTTTAATTAAAATATTATTCGCCTCCATTGAACCAGATAAGATCATTTTGGAGAAAGGTTTTGAGGTTTTGACCTGTTTGGTCCGACCCTTGCTGGGAGGGAAACAACATTTCAAATAATGGAGATACTAGATTTTATAAACTTTCTTCCATAGGAATCAAACGCACATCTTTTGCGTGTCAAAGCGCCTAACTGCTACTCTACAGACGCAGGTGCTCTACATTTGAAATGACCTGTGTGTTGTGTCTTTTTAGGTGGAATCGTTTCCTTAAAAAAACAATATTCCAATTACGTACTCAGTATTCCTGGAGACCTGGGACTGGACCAGTTTCCTCTTCTGCTGCTCCACGAGCGAGATTCCCGGCTTCACGGAGGGCACAGGGAAGGAGGAGTAAGGAGAGAAGTCATCCACGTGGGTTGTTTCAGAAGTTGGTGTGCTGGGCTTCTGATCCGGCAGCCACACGTTAGGCTTCCACATCTCCTTACGGCTCGACTTAGGCTTGCCAGGGACGATATTTTTCACCTGAAATAGAGGATGGAGAAAGAGTGTTGGCCTTAATGTTTTTCACGGAAAAGGGTCCCCATTTGAGAATGATTTCGGCAAGAAAACCTCCCCGTTTACGCAGGAGTGATACCTTGTGAATAAACATCTCACTCAATAAAGATTTACTTTACTCCTCCGTTTCAAAAGAAAGGACGAGTAATTCTTGTCTTATCAACTTTAATACACGCCATAATATTGTGTTTTTATTTCCTCTAAAGCAGACAGAGATAGAGGGCGAGATACAGAGAGATACAGACACACACACACACACACACACACACACACAGAGAGAGAGAGACACACACACACACACACACACAGAGAGAGAGAGAGAGAGAGAGAGAGAGAGAGAGAGAGAGAGAGAGAAACAGAGAGCAACAGAGAGCAACAGAGACAGAGACTGAGATAGAGATAGAGAGCAATACAGAAATGGAGAAACAAAGACACACACACACACACACACACACACACACACACACACACACACACACACACACACACACACACACACACACACACACACACACACAGAGAGAGAGAAAGAGAAAGAGAGAGAGAGAGAGAAAGAGAGAGATAGGGTGTGAGAGAGAGAGCGAGAGAGAGATTTACAAATATCTAGACAGATAATATATAGATGTAGAGAGAGAGAGAGAGAGGGAGAGAGATATAAATAGACAGACGCAGAGATATATTGCTAAATAAATGTAGATCGATAAATTGTAGATACAGGTTGAGAGAGAGAGAGAGAGAGAGAGAGAGAGAGAGAGAGAGAGAGAGAGAGAGAGAAAAGAGAGAGGGGGATCAAGAGAGAGAAAGGGAGAGAAGGACAATGCGGAGAGGGCGATATCAAGAATGATAAAAGCCTAAACTAAACTCGGATCGAGTTATATCTGGTAAAAACTAAAACTAGTAGAATTGAAAAGAAAGTGTCGGCATGCTTGTAATATCACGTTTTGGCAGACAGCCAGAAACCTACCTGAAACATCCGCTGAGGCGAAACGTTCTCTTTGCCGTCCATGAACGTGGTGCTGACGTTCACCTCTGCCTGAGACGATGGCGGGGAGAAAAGGCCCGGCACTTCCTTCTTTGTCCCCGAGCCAGGCACGAATCTGGTGGGCTTGAAGACTGGTGCCACATTCGTGTTGCTTCTAATGGTGTCGCTGCTAAAACTACTGCTGAAGGTGGTGGTTGGTTGCGGTCGCTGTTGAAGAAAGTTGCTTGATGTTGAAGCCGACAGAGGTGTGGGGGGTTGTATGCTGGCTTTGCTGGCATTATTGACGACCTTGAAGCTACCGTTGTTGATGTTGTTGTTGTTATTGTTGTTGTTGTTAGTGGTTGATTTGACCGTTGTAGAGGTTGTGGTAGTACGTTGTGAAATCTGTTGGGCAGAAGTGGGCTGGACAGAGTTAAAGGCAGATGCTTGGCTCTTGACGAAGGAAGGTCCGCGCTTGTTGGTGGAGGTTGTTGTGGTGGTCTCTTTTTGCACCACCGTGTTGCTCCGCCCGTCCTCGCTGTTGGTCACGTGCTGCTCACGAGTGACCTCCCGCCGGGTCTGACCGTCGTCGAAAGTCGCGGTGGCCGCGGAAGATGTGGTACGTGACGGTTTGGGACTGACGGGAGGGGGTTGAGGAGATCGAGGCTGCGGCAGGGGAGAAACGCTCGCCTGGGGTTTGGGGCTCACTGGCGGAGCTTTTGGGCTCACGCTTTGAGGTGGGGCTACAGGGCTGTATATCTTCGGGGGTTGAGGGCTTTGGGATTGGGTGGGTTTGGGGCTGTAGATTTGTGGAGGTGGTTGCGGGCTAATGCTCGGACTCTTTGATGGTTTGGGGCTCGTTTTCGGCGGTAAAGGACTGAGTCTTGTCGGTGAGGGGCCGTTGAACCTTGCTGAGTCGGTGAAGGGTTCGGCCATAACTGCTGTCAGAGTTGACGATGACTGGAAGTCTTCAACATTGGAGGTGACATCTCCGAACTGAGTCGAGATGACAGGGCTACTCTCCAGGAAGACAGGGTCGTTTGTGGACGAAGTTACGTCATCAACGGAGGCCGTCATGATGAGACCAGACGATGAAGTGTCCTCTCCGGTGTTGAAGGTGGAACCTGATACGTCATCCACGGTAGCGGTCAGCTGAAGGCCGCCGAACGTGACGTCTCCGGCCGGCTGGTCATAAGAGTCTGACGTCACGTTGTCCACAGAGGAGACAAGGATAAGCTCAGAGGGTGCGTCTGGGACCGTATCAACACCGGAACTGCTGACGTCACCCATTGACGAGGTCATGATCAGACCTCCCCCGGAGTTTCCTTCGCCAGCTCCCCCGCCCATAATTTGAATGGGTTTCTTGGGCTTTGTGGCACTTAGCTCATCCACATCTCCTCTGTAGAAGGAGTAAACGAGGGAAGGGAGCGAAACAAGGGAGTGTCAGTCTTGTTTTCAAGAGAGTGTGTTTTAGTGTGTAATTATTGTCTATGTGATTGCTCCGTGTGCACGCCGTGAGAGGAAGGAAAAGTTTGCTGCGTATGTGTCTGTATGAGTATGTTTGTGTGTATTTGTGCACGTGTGTGTATGTGTGTTTGTGTGTGTGTGTTTGTGTGTTTGTATGTTCTAGTGTGTGGGTGTATGTTTCTATGTAAATAAGAATGTATGTTTATTCGTATGTACGAGACACACACACACACACACACACACACACACACACACACAGAGAGAGAGAGAGAGAGAGAGAGAGAGAGAGAGAGAGAGAGAGAGAGAGAGGGGGGGGGAGAGAGAGCGTGCCCGTGCGTGCGTGTGTGCGTTTAAATAGCTGCGCATGTGTGCGCGCTGCGCCTGTGTGTATGTGTGCGTGCATGCATGCATGCGTGTGTATGTGCGTGCGGGCGGGCGTGTGTATGTGCGTGCGGGTCTACGAGCACCTGTGTGAACAAATGACCTAGACAGAACATACCAGCATTCAACAAGTCATAGACAAATAATTCTAGGGCCAACTCGGCCTGGCGTGAGCAGCCAGCCAGCCGCGGTCCACAATCGACGAACAAAGCTGTCCACTATCAGCAATGAACTGAACTCAAAAGAGCCTTATCATCAGCCCGCTGGGAACAGTGTACAACTGTATCGCCCTGGCCGCGGTTGACTTTGGCAGCCAGTAACGGTCTGGGGGTGAAGGGTCAGAGGCACGCACGCTTGGCGTGAAGACAGGGGGTTAACGGTGAGGTGATACATTACACGGACAATATGTAAAAAACAGTCATTACCGTATTATAGTAAGGTGCTACATTTCATAGACATTATGTAAAAACATCCATTACCATATTACAGTGAGGTGATACATTACACGGACATTATATTGTAAAAACAGCCATTACCTTATTATAGTAAGGTGATACATTTCATAGACATTATGTAAAAACAGCCATTACCATATTACAGTGAGGGGATACATTACACAGACAGTACATAAAAACAGCCATTACCATATCACAAGGAGGTGATACATTACAGAGACATTATGTCAAGACAGCCATTGCCATATTACAGTGAGGGGATACATTATATTGACACTATGTCAAAACAGCCATGACCATATCACAATGAGGTGATGCATTACATAGACATAATGTGATTATGTCAAAATCGCCTTTGCCACCTTTATCGCAGTGAGGTGATACATTACAAAGACATTATGTCAAAAAAAGCCATTACCATGCCATATCACAATGAGGTGAGACAGTGCAGCAACATCAAAACAGTCACTTTCCTACCTGCGCAGATTTAAATAAACAAGGCCAAACATGGACATAAAAATAGCAATAACAAGTGGAGAGATAGGTGTCAACGGCGTCCTCAAACTTCAAACCATGAACGCCATGTTTGGGAACAAGCAGTATACGGCACGAAGAACCATAAACACACGCGCGCGCGCGC